TCAAAGATTTCTAAATTATGAGGAATTTCCCTAAGAAAATCACTAAATCTGAGCAGAATAAGAAAGCTTCTGGGCCGAGTAAGCATTATACTTGTACACTAGCACAAGATCATAAGCAGCTAAATGGAAGATGACAATCCCAAAATTACTGAGATACAATTTATAAAAGGAAAATTTCTACTTCTATGGTTTTTCTCATGAAATTCCCGTACTTTTAATATTTTTAATTAAGTCCTTCTACCTTCACAAATTTTCTGATGAAGTCTGCCCGAATTTAAATCCAGCCAAATCTAATTAATGTGGCAAGTCAGGATGACACCAAAGGAAACGACAATAACATTTTGGCCAAAGTGAATGCCCACATTAACTGCACTCTAGAAAAATTTAGTCAACGTGAACAATGTCGAAATATGACGTGGATTAACAATGTGGATGTCCACATAACAATGCGGATGCCCATGTGGACATCCATGTTGGAAAACTTTTATCCATGTTACACCCCAACGGCCATTGTCAACTGAATTGGGTTAGATTTATTATCGAATAGACTTGATTGAAAATTTATGAAAATAAAAGAACTTGATTAGACAAATTAAAATTTATTGTCGAACGGATTAATTGTCGCAAAGCATGATGTCCGAATTTAAATCCGGACAAATCTAGTTAACGTGACAAGTCGGGACAACACCAAAGGACAATGTGGATAACATTTAGCCAAAGTGGATGCACATATGACTGGCAACTCCCAGCACTCAGTTTCTTCACCTTCCTTAAAGAATCAATTGACGTGGGAATCTTTGCAATACTAGAAAAATATAAATGAGTTATTTTAGTTCTTCTAATTTGCGCACTTTTCTTGGTAACTCCTTGAGACTATCACAGAACTCAAGCCCAAGGAAACGAGGCTCTTTGACTTAGCCAACAGAAGGGTGGACTTGCCCAAGCCGGTGACATTTTTTCAAGACGAGAATCTCCAACTTTGTGATAGCCGAGAAATTATGAGTATGTTTTACATAATTGCAACATGCAAGATCGAGAACTTTAAGCCGCTTTGCCGCCTATACAAAGGAGAAAAGCCGTCAAGAGAGGCTAGATGGCTAATCAAGTTGTGGATAGGATAGTGAAAGCCCAAAGATCTGAGCATCTCCCTTGTAATTGGGCTTGTAACCATCCCTTAGCTTTATGGGACCTCCTAGTATCAGAAGACCATGCTTCCTGTTCATCTTATGCTACTTAAGAAATGGAAAAGCTTCTGTTCCGGACAGAAACAAAAAACAAACAAAAGGTCACTGAGGATGTCTTTTTTATATCTTACCATGATTGAACTCCATCCGCTCCGATGCTCTGTGATCTGGTTGCATGACAACTACAGAAAGACTAATTGGGTTCAACGTCAAACCACAAAAGCCATCTTAATTCAAAAAACAATTCGTTAAAGTCTCTACTTTTCGACCAAAAAAAAAGTCTCTATTTAAAATCGTCCACCTCAATTGAAGCATACTTTTCAAAGATGATAGGCATCAAAACATTAGACCGTATGATCGCATGAAGGAGCCGTGAACCAAACCCTTCGCCAATGGGGAGGCTGTTATCATCCCTGGACATAAACATTGGTAGAATACCATCATTTATGAGATTGTTGTAGCCTCTTAAAAAGCTCAAGAATACATCATAGGGATTACTTCCCGCTCCTAATGGTGTTGGAGAGGTGAATGTAGATGTAGATGCTCCGTCAGTGCTCTTATTTTCTGCATGTGTATTGCTTCCACTCCTTTTCCTCGTCTTGATAAGATTATAAGCAAACACCGAAAGAAGAATTTGAGCAACAAGCACCACAAAAGAACGCCCCGGAGCGAACTGATGCACTCCGTCATCTGAGTTGCTCTGGCTCTTCCCTTTATCCATGGAAGTCTGATAGCAAAGAGAAAAAAAAGATATGCCTTCTTGTAGCGCAGAAACGACAGGTTAACGTATGAACTGGACTTATGCATCAACTTGAAAAGATCAACACCACATGCTCAGAGAACGAGTTGGACACATTGCAACATATGAACATCAACGAAGTAGTCTTCATATGGTGGTGTTTCCCAATTACCAGTAATTCATGTAGAGCCCGATACTAATGGATACTTGTACTCCACTCTATTGCAATATTCAAAAATCGAATCCCAATCAAGTATCGTTTTCTCTGCTCGAGCTCAGCTCGATAGCAAAAGTTGAAATACTCAGGTTCAAGTCGATTCAATCCTCACATAAGCTAGAATTAAGCCCAACCTCTACCAATAGAAAAGGAACAGATTTCTCAAGAAAGGATACCCTAAAACACAAATCCCGATCAAGTATCTTTACTGACCTTTATGGTGGAGTCACCAAATTTGGCAGTAAAATCACGTAAGTTGGTCATCCAGCAGTTACTTCTCGCGGAAAATCACAAATGCTAAGCATTCACCACGATTGTATAGATAGAAGAAGGCAAAGAAAGAAAGAAAGTTAAGACATACAATTTTGATTAGATAAAATTCCTCCATATTCTTTGCAACTCAAAGCAACCTAAAGATTGGCGAGAAGCAGTCGAACGATCAATGACGACCAGATGAGAAGGGAAAACGGACCAGGTCCATCCAATTGTTCATGATTTTCTTTGTTTGTAATTTTCCTCACCAATAATAATTTATCGGTTACATATCATTTTATAACTTTTTTTTTTATCACAGGATGTAATTTCTCTTTTGTTGTTGTAAATTCCTTGAATCCTATGATTTGTAAAATTTCACAAAAAATAGTAATCTACCTAATGCATATCTTTTTCTGTTGTTAGTAAATTACCTAATGAATCTTAAGTTTCTTTTGGCACGTAATTATTCCCACTGGTATTATCTGTAATTTATCGTTACATGACTTTTTTTAGAGGGTTTAGATTTTCTTTGGAGGTCGTAAAATATGGTTCATAATATTTCCATAAAATAGTAACTTATTCAGTTAATAGTAAATTTCTTTTTTGTATGTTTAGTAAAATATTAAATTGATCGTAATTTTCTTTTACACTTTGTAAAGGTTTGAGATCTACATGTTAGTAATTTTCCTTGCACATCGCAATTTTTCTCAATCTATAAAGTTGATCAATTTTGTGTCCGTAACTTTTCTTTAATGTCTGAAAGTTATGACAGAAATCGGTTTTGCAAAACAAATTAGACGGACCACATTTTTTCCCTTTTTAATCCGACGGTCCACGTTGAACGTGGGATCAGTCACGTAAAAAGATAACTTTGACTGATGTGAATTCCCGTTACTATTATGAAGTTTTGGGCACGATAAAGGAGTTTTATTTATTTATTCTTGGCCAAACAGTAAAGTAGCGTTGGAGACGCTATTTTTTAAAAAATTTGAAGTTCATCCCATCGTAATATATAAATATATTAATGAAAATTGTTACTTTGTCAATATTTTCTTTTGCTGATACATAGCAATAGATAAAAGAAAATTGAGATGCTTCTCGTAGATCTATATATTCAGTACAACACGCAAGTCTTAGGTATGCAAAGGAGCCTTCACACGTATTCCTATCCATTTCAACCCAATAATCTTACTGTCCAAAAAAAAAATACCCAATAACATTTTTTTTAAGAAATTTTTTTGCTAAATGGATCTCATTGGATATAGCAGTTCTCACTTCATGCACGCAGTATAATTATCAAACCATATCAATCTACAATATTTTTTTTTTTGCGAATTTTGTGATTCTCATCTAGCCTTTTTAATGCGAAACATTGAAAATTCTTCAAATTACGTAAATATCCACGTGTAGAATCATACGTAATATTTAATTATTTTTTTGAAAACTCCAAATGACTATTTTCTTTTTCAAATGTTGAATAGAGGCACAATTGATGGATAATTTTTTTTTCATTATTTCTTCCCACCGAACGAGCCCACCCTTGCCAAACGAAACCAAGAAAACTAGCGAGGGGGGCCAAAATAGGAATTAAACCAAACTTCAGGAGCGAAAACGGAATTTGTCAAAAGAAACAAAAAGGGAAAATGGCTCCAATCTCTCTCCGCTCTCTCACTCCGGCATATGAAAAGGCAAAGGAAAGGCAATCAATCCCGCCATCGCTGGCTAGGTTTTTCGAAAGAGGGCACTTGGAGCGCGCCCGCTCTCGCGAGAGAGGCTAGCGATCGATTCCATTCCATTCCGACTTGTGCATCATCGATCGATCGATCGAATCGCGTCGGACACAGGTTGAGAGATTCCATGGAGGATCGGGGGGTTGGAAGAGGTGGAGAAAGCTCGGTTGCTCAGCTGGACTCTCGAGTTCGGCTTCGACCATCAGTCCGCCACCAAGTGCTTGGACCGTCCCGTTTCCCTCTACGGTAACTCGAATCATTGTTCCTTGTTGCGCGTTTTTTTTTTTTTTGGTGCTAGTCAGCGTTGCAGGTATTACGCAGGTGTTTCTCGTCCACTGCGATGATGGCTCTGGAATAGTCTGGTTTAGGTTTGAATAGCGAAATGTCTGGTGCTTTTCCAGCTTGATGTGTTTAGGTTGCTTCGGATGGTGGTTTTTCTTGGTTATTAGCTGAATCGCGTGGTATCTGGTGATTAGGGAATGACGTAATTGCTTGTGTTGCGTGGATAATTTGTGAATTGATTGGTTGTGCATTGCTAATAAGGAGATTTATTCTGGTTAGTGGCTATTCTGGTGATGGCTATAGAATAGTCTACTTTGGATTGAATGGGGACCGGAGTTGGTTAAATTTAGTTCATTGAGCGTTAATCTCATCCCTGTTTCTTTGCGGGTTTGGTGGAGTAGTCCTATTGACTAGTGAACTGTCCGGCTTATTTCTGAACTCACTGCAGATTACTTATGGTGTCTTGCAGTCCTATTAATATCGTGCGTCACTGAACTAAGTGCAAATTACGTATTGTTGATTGTATATATTTGATCTCTTGTTTGCCATGGAACTTGCAAAATTAATCTCTTTCTTCTTTTGGTTTTCTTAAGGTGACGAAGGTTGAGAGTATATCACTGTGGAGCACTGTGGCAATGACTTCTTAGTAGAACTTGCCGAAACCATGGAAGATTCTAAGGATTGGGATGATTTGCAAGCTGAGGAATCAGAAGCTTGTGGAGTTTTGGCTGATATGTTTGGCCAAGATATCCATAATGGCGGTGAATGCAATGTCTTACATGATGTCAATATTATAGATGATTCTCCACAACCTGAGGAAAACCAAAACTTTTCTTGAGGTGGATTCCTCTACTGATAGTGAAGATGAAGACAATATATTTGGCAGTAAAATGGGCAGGATATCCACATGCTATATTCCTGACCAAACTCCGAGGTATTCTTTCACTCAACTTCTGGCCAGACGATCTTTAGAATCCATGGTATGCTTCTCCCATGGACATAGACAATACACGCCAAACCACTTAAATCACTGTGTCACTGTTGTTTTCTCATATAATTTATTCTCTCCTTGATCATTTGCAATTTGCTTGTGATTCTGCACACAGCAAAGGACCTACACAATGTACATGTACAAAAGCATTTAGTAAGTTGCTTATGAGGCCTCTCATTCAATCAAATGTCCAATAAACACTCCTAACTTTTGGCAATTACTTCCACAACCTTCAAGATCCAAAATGGCATATTGGAACTCTTTGGTCAATACAAAAGTTGATTTTAGTTTTGGATGATGTACAAATACCTATTTTCTCAAATACTTTGAGAGTATAGCAGATCATCAAAGTGTGGAACTTAGCAATCCAGCATCGTTGAAAGGAATGTTTTGTGTAAACGAAGGCTTGTGATTTCTTTGTGCACATTTTTCACTTTCCATGAAAATCCATGTCAGAAACTATTACAGTGCTGAAGAGGCTTATTTCTGTTGAAGGACTATAAGAGCACTGTCACTCAAGGTTCAAAATCGTCAGTTCCAAATAAAGGACATTGGTCAGTTTCAAATAAAGGACACTGCTCTTGGAATTCAACATCCAAACAAGGGACTCTGAGTTATGACGAATTGCAAGCCTTGGATGACATATAATTGGCAAATGTTGTCATATTTGGAAACAAGGCATTTCGACCAATGCAGCATCAGGTTTGTAAAGCTTCTGTAGCCAGGCAAGACTGCTTTATACTCATCAATTATGCCCTACGACAACCATTTATAAATTTTACACGGACAAACTGGACCTATTATTTTCCAAGATCCGTTGGCTAGTAATGAACATAGACTTTAAAGGTATCGTATACACCGATGGGGTGAGTAAGTCACGAGATATGGTGGAAAAAATCAAAAAAATGGTGGCTCACCTCTTTCATCATTTTAGAACGTCGACATTGTCATTGGCAACTCTATCAATGTACGTGGAGTAGTTTGTTCCCAAGTACGTCTCCAACTCATTGGTAGATGATAAAGATGAAGACTTAGCGGAAGGGTGTGGGATTTTCTTCTTCTTAAGAAGCAAAGACCATATAGGTTTGTGGGCACTACTCAATGAGGCCCCTCTGTCTGTGGGTTGGAACTTGTTGTATTGAATTGGCCAGCGTATGCCACGTACATATTCCAGAGCCCACTCATTCTTACAGCCAATATGTGTTCCACTAGGAACTCCTCACCCAGTCCCAGATATTCGTAACATGCAATAAGAAGAGTTTCGAGCCCCTCCAACTTGAACTTCGAATCCAAAACATTGGCTACCAAAAAAACAAGCGGATGTCTTTTTAATGGTTGAGGCATTTTGCCTTTATGGCCACTACTATTTCCTTGACGAAGGGATCACCCTTCTTATTCGTCAATTCAGCCGACATCAAGTACAGAAACGGAAGGGCTTGATTGCGAGACAGCTAATCGAAATCTTCGAATTTCAGTTTCAAAAAATTCTCAGTTTTTTCACGTGCTTTGCAAGTTCATTCTCGCATTCCAAGGTCCAAGACGAGTATCAATGGAACAAATGCACCTTGGTGAAATACAAGTGCTTGAATTATCATATCAGAAAATCAGTACGTGATTATTTCAAGCATGATTTCTGCTGTTAGTCAAATTTGACGCATAAAAAACTAGTCAAAGATTTCTAAATTATGAGGAATTTCCCTAAGAAAATCACTAAATCTGGGTAGAATAAGAAAGCTTCTGGGCCGAGTAAGCATTATACTTGTACACTAGCACAAGATCATAAGCAGCTATAAATGGAAGATGAAAATCCCAAAATTACTGAGATACAATTTATAAAAGGAAAATTTCTACTTCTATGGTTTTTCTAATGAAATTCCTGTACTTTTAATATTTTGAATTAAGTCCTTCTACCTTCACAAATTTTCTGATGAAGTCCGCCCGAATTTAAATCCAGCCAAATCTAATTAACGTGGCAAGTCAGGATGACACCAAAGGAAACAACGATAACACTTTGACCAGAGTGAATGCCCACATGAACAGCACCCTAGAAAAATTTAGTCAACATGAACAATGTCGAAATATGACGTGGATTAACAATGTGGATGTCCACATAACAATGCGGATGCGCATGTGGACATCCATGTCGGAAAACTTTTATCCATGTTACACCCCAACGGCCACGTCAACTGAATTGGGTTAGATTTGTTGTCGAACAGACTTGATTGAAAATTTATGAAAATAAAAGAACTTGATTAGACAAATTAAAATTTATTGTCGAACGGACTAATTGTTGCAAAGCATGATGTCCGAATTTAAATCCAGACAAATCTAGTTAACGTGACAAGTGGGGACGACACCAAAGGACAATGTGGATAACATTTAGCCAATGTGGATGCACATATGACTGGCAACCCCCAGCACTCAGTTTCTTCACCTTCCTTAAAGAATCAATTGACATGGGAATCTTTGCAATACTAGAAAAATATAAATGAGTTATTTTAGTTCTTCTAATTTGCCCACTTCTCTTGGTAACTCCTTGAGACTATCACATAACTCAAGCCCAAGGAAACGAGGCTCTTTGACTTAGCCAACAGAAGGGTGGACTTGCCCAAGCCGGTGACATTTTTTCCAGACGAGAATCTCCAACTTTGTGATAGCCGAGAAATTATGAGTATGTTTTACATAATTGCAACATGCAAGATTGAGAACTTTCAGCTGCTTTGCTGCCTATACAAAGGAGAAAAGCCGTCAAGAGGGGCTAAATGGCTAATCAAGTTGTGGATAGGATAGTGAAAGCCCAAAGATCTGAGCATCTCCCTTGTAATTGGGCTTGTAACCATCCTTTAGCTTTATGGGACCTCTTAGTATCAGAAGACCATGCTTCCTGTTCATCTTATGCTACTTAAGAAATGGAAAAGCTTCTGTTCCGGACAAAAACAAAAAACAAACAAAAGGTCACTGATGCTCTGTGATCTGGTTGCATGACAACTACAGAAAGACTAATTGGGTTCAATGTCAAACCACTGAAGCCATCTTAATTCAAAAAACAATTTGTTAAAGTCTCTACTTTTCGACCAAAAAAAAAAAGTCTCTACTTAAAATCGTCCACCTCAACTGAAGCATACTTTTCAGAGATGATAGGCATCAAAACATTAGACCATGTGATTGCATGAAGGAGCTGTGAACCAAACCCTTCGCCAATGGGGAGGCTGTTATCATCCCTGGACATAAACATTGGTAGAATACCTTCATTTATGAGATTGTTGTAGCCTCTTAAAAAGCTCAAGAATACATCATAGGGATTACTTCCCCACTCCTAATGGTGTTGGAGAGATGAATGTAGATGTAGATGCTCCGTCAGTGCTCTTATTTTCTGCATGCGTATTGCTTCCACTCTTTTTCCTCGTCTTGAGAAGATTATAAGCAAACACTGAAAGAAGAATTTGAGCAACAAGCACCACAAAGAACGCCCCAGAACGAATTGATGCACTCCGTCATTTGCGTTGCTCTGGCTCTTCCCTTTATCCATGGAAGTCTGATAGCAAAGAGAAAAAAGAAATGCCTTCTTGTAGCGCAGAAACAATACGTTAACGTATGAACTGGACTTATGCATCAACTTGAAAAGATCAACACCACATGCTCAGAGAACGAGTTGGACACATTGCAGCATATGAACATCAACGAACTAGTCTTCATATGGAGGTGTTTCCCAATTACCAGTAATTTATGTAGAGCCCGATACTAATGGATACTTGTATTCCACTCTATTGCAATATTCAAAAATCGAATCCCAATCAAGTATGATTTTCTCTGCTCGAGCTCGGCTTGATAGCAAAAGTTGAAATACTCATGTTCAAGTCGATTCAATCCTCACATAAGCTAGAATTAAGCCCAACCTCTACCAATAGAAAAGGAACAGATTTCTCAAGAAAGGATACCCTAAACAAAAATCCCGATCAAGTATCTTTACTGACCTTTATGCAGGAGTCAGCAAATTTGGCAGTAAAATCACGTAAGATGATCATCCACCAGTTACTTCTTGAGGAAAATCACAAATGCTAAGCATTCAGCATGACTGTATAGATAGAAGGCAAAGAAAGAAAGAAAGAAAGAAAGTTAAGACATACAATTTTGATTAGATCAAATTCCTCCATATTCTTTGCAACTCAAAGCAACCTAAAGATTGGTGAGAAGTAGTTGAACGATCAACGACAACCACATGAGAAGGGAAAACAGATCGGGTTCGTCCAATTGTTCATGATTTTCTTATTTGTAATTTTCCTCACTAATAATAATTTGTCGGTTACATATCATTTTATAACTTTTTTTTATCACAGGATGTAATTTCCCTTTTGTTGTTGTAAATTCCTTGAATCCTATGATTTGTAAAATTTCACAAAAAATAGTAATCTACCTAATGGATATCTTTTTTCTGTTGTTAGTAAATTACCTAATGAATCCTAACTTTCTTTTGGCACGTAATTATTCCCACTAATAGTAATTTATCTGTAATTTATTTTTACATGACTTTTTTTAGAGGGTTTAAATTTTCTTTGGAGGTCGTAAATTCTGGTTCATAATATTCCTTAAAATAGTAACTTATTCAGTTAATACTAAATTTCTTTTGAGTATGTTTAGTAAAATATTAATTTGATCGTAATTTTCTTTTACACTTTGTAAAGGTTTGAGATCTACATGTTAGTAATTTTCCTTGTACATCGCAATTTTTCTCAATCTGTAAAGTTGATCAATTTTGTGTCCGTAACTTTTCTTTAACATCTGAAAGTTATGACAAAAATCGGTTTTGCAAAACAAATATGACAGACCAAGTTTTTTCCCCTTTTAATCCGACGGTCCACGTTTGAATGTGGGATCAGTCCCGTAAAAGATAACTTCGATTATGGAATTTGCATTACTATTATGAAGTTTTGGGCATGATAAAGGAGTTTTACTTATTTATTTTTGGCCAAATAGGAAAGTAGTGCTGGAGACGCTATTTTTAAAAAAAATTTGAAGTTCATTTCATTGTAATATATATTATATAGGTAAAAACGTAATTTTAATAACAAGTGTTACTTTGTCAATATTTTCTTTTGCTGATACAAAAGAAATTAGAGATACCTCTCGTAGATCTATATATTCAATACGACACGCAAGTCTTAGGTATGCAAAGGAGCCTCACACATATTCCTATCTATTTTAATCAATAATCTTACTGTCCAAAAAAAAAAAATTACCGAATAACCTTTTTTTAAGAAATTTTTTTGCTAAATGGATCTCATTGGACATAGCAGTTCTCACTTCATGCACGCAGTTTAATTATCAAACCATATCAATCTACAATATTTTTTATTGCGAATTTTGCGATTCTCATCTGGCCTTTTTAATGCGAAACATCGCAAATTTTTCAAATTATGTAAATATCCACGTGTAGAATCATACGTAATATTTAATTATTTTTTTGAAAACACCAAATGACTATTTTCTTTTTCCAAATGTTGAATAGAGGCACAATTGATGGATAATTTTTTTTTCATTATTTCTTCCCACCGAACGAGCCCAAGGGCGTCAAACGAAACCAAGAAAACTTACGAAGGGGGCCAAAATAGGAATTAAAACGAACTCCAGGCGCGGAAACGGAATTTGTCAAAAGAATCAAAAAGGGAAAATGGCTCCAGTCTCTTTCCGCCATCGCTGGCTAGGTTTTTCGAAAGAGAGCACTTCGAGCGCGCCCGCTCTC